AAAGTTAGTTGGAAACTTTTTTCGTATGTTCAAGTGAAATAAACTGAAAAATGAACTGAAAAAAAACTTTTCCACCTTGAAAAGGTGTGACGGTTAACGGAGGTGACGGATAATGGGAGGACGGATAATCGAGGTTCTACTGTATACAGATTTTTTTCAATTTTTTACGGATGTCATTAAAATTGGGCGATAAAAACAGATTTTGTCAATAAAAAACATTCTGTGGCCCCAAAATCGGCTAGTGACTTAGTATCACCGATTTTTCGAAGCTTGGCAGACGATGATGAAGTGCCATTGCCTTGCAATGCATCCGTATCCACGTTTGTGGGCATTTCTGTGTCACTGGAGTCGTCACATGATTTGCTATTATCCTCCAGTTTTAATGCATTTATCATCGCCAAGACTGGAAGAACCAATTTTTCCAGTTCAATCAAACGATTCGACAGATCAGCGCGACACGAGGAATTCATTGTTTTGAAGTTACATACGACAACAACAATAACAGTGTGAACAATGATAAAAAAAAGTCAATGAAATAACAAAACACGAGCGATAAATATTAAGTCTAGGGGGGGAAATCATTTTTTTCATATTTTATATCCGCACGCATCAAGTAATAACTAAGAAATTCAATGGTAGAGGAGAGGGGGGCTATTCGGATCACTTTTTGGAACAGGAGGATTACAGATTGACAGTTGAGCTGCATGATATACTTATACTGAATGAATAGTTCTGTAGCTTGCCGTATATGATATTGTAGGGCAAACTGCGGCGTTAGTGTGCTTGTGTTTCAATCTACAAACCCCCTGTTTTGGAAATCAGCCATATCGTCTTGAAAATGACCACGAATTGCCACATTTTATATATGGTTGGAAAGCTATTCTCCTAAGCTATCTTTAAAATAAATAAACTTTTTCTGTTGGTTATCCTGGTAGTGATTTGTGGGCCTATGTTTGGACGACCTCACAGCTCCATTCGGTACGTGTGGGGGTTATTTGGATCACCCAAATTTTGTCGCGTGTTTAGTATAAGAATGCACACTGAAACAGTATTTCTAGGAATTAGAGTTTATTTTCTGATATTTCAACAGTTTGATTGATACTTTTTCACTACAGTTTTGATGCGAATAGGTGCTTTACAAAGACAAAAACAAATGCGAAATTTCGAAAGAAAACACAACTTTCGCCGATTTGCAGCACACAGCCCACTGAATATATAATCATGTAGGTCACCAAATATGCGGCACACAACAACAAATTTAATGGCAGTTCTACGTGTCATGGTGTCTGTATCGTTTTGGAGATATATCGAGTGATCCGAATAGCACCCCTCTCTCCTATGCATGTAAATCCAAAATATCCATGTATGTTCAACAATATTCATCGTGAAAGACAAATGAATATTACTAAATATACATAGATATGTCAAATTTACGTGTATACGTATGAAAAATAAAAATAGTAGCAAATAGTAGTGAATCAAACCTTCAACCGTACTCTCACAATTCGAAGTAGGCAAACCGTCAGAAGTAGTACGTCAAAATTACAAATTGCCGAAGCGTGCCAAAGAAATTTTTTCATTGGAGGTAAAATGTTGAATTACCACCAATGTTTTTATTCGGTGTGCAAGGAATTGCCACATTCAAAGGGCACAATAGCACCAGTTGAAATAAATGACAGAAAACTAAATTGGTAGCGAATGCGCTTGGCAAAGGTTCGAATTCCATGATGGAAATATTATTTTTATTCTTAATGTGTTCATTCTTTTTCGATGGCGAGAATACCAATTTAGCTGTCTGTGATTTATTTCAACTGGTGCTGTTGTGCCCTTTGAATGTGGCAATTCCTTGCACATACTTCGTTTGGTTGCGTTCATTGTGTGTGATCACTTTGGTGTGCGGAAACACGATTGTGCATGAAACATTCAGTGTGATGACAACCGATTGTCGAAAAATGAAAACAAAATCAGAAATCGGTGCAAATCGTATCGTGTAATAGCCGAAGAAGGCTGAACAACAAATTCAATTAGCCTTTTTTCGTGTTGCAAAGATAATTCGAGATGATTGTTGTTAAGAATTCAATATTTTATGCCATTTGGAATTTAGATTCAACTCACTGTTCATTGCTGCAACACACTTGATGAAAATTTGAAAAAAAAAACAATAAAAAAGATTTATTTCTCACTAATTATACGTGTTTGGTGTGTTTTATCACTCTTCAAATGCCCTGTTAGCGGCTTTTTTCCATCGAATTCAAATTTATCTACCGAATAAAAACATTGGTGGTAATTCAACATTTTACCTCCAATGAAAAAATTTCTTTGGCACGCTTCGGCAATTTGTTATTTTGCCGTACTATTTCTGACGGTTTGCCTACTTCGAATTGTGAGAGTAAATTTGAACGATTTCGGTAGATAACGGTTAATATTTGAACATTTTTTGACATTACAGTCTAATGAATATACATAGATATTTGAGATTGACGTGCATACCAGTAAATTTGTGCAAATTGTATAGTCAAAAAATGTTTCAATATTCACCGTAATCCACCAAAATCCTTCAAAAGTGGTTCAAATTTTCGGTTGAAGGTTTGATTCACTATTATTTTTATTTTTTCAGAGTTATTTGCGTTCTGCAAAATCGTGTGGAGCCCCTAGTATTAAGTAAACTTCACTTTGTCGGACAAACAGAATTTAAGTGAAAAAAACGAATATTAACTTAATATATAAAATGAAAATAAAAACGTCTTTGATAGATTGGACGATGTTTAACGCTCCAGTTAGTCTATCTTTTCTCAAACGCGTTGTTAGATTAGCTTGAACCGTTGACAATCAGCTTTCATTAGACATTTCATGTTTGATCATTCGCTTATTCATAAATTAGGTAATTCTTTTGCCTAGTCGAGAACCAGTATTTATGTAAAATCGAACTATATTTCATTATGTATAATAATCAAAAGATCAGGTTTTACATGACTCTTCGAGTCATTTTCCTGCAAAACAAATCATTCAGCCAGTCTTTTGGCGGTGTAAATAAATAAATAAATATTATAATGATTTTGTCAGACGACAAAATCTCGAAGAAAAATGCGTCTGACAAAATCTGACATAGTTTTTGTATGAAACTTTTCTCGAAAATTTTCATACAAAAAATTTGTGGAAATATTAACATGATATTAATAATATCATCTTAATATCTTAAAATCGATATTTTTCAAATCAGTATTTTTTTTATTTTTTTATTAACTGCCCGCCATTTTTTAAGATTTTTTCCTGACAGAGTTTTCTAGTAAAACATTTTATTAAATTAAATGTAAATAGGCATATAATGAAAGCTACAAACTCAGAAAAAACTTCTTCTCATCAAACCAATACCAAAATATGTTTTCATGAAAAGTTATGAGCTCAATTCGAAAAATTGACTGGTCGGATTTCCGACCAGCGGCAATTAATGGGTTCAGATTTTATATATGGGTAAAGACTGAATACAGCCTGAGCGAAGAGTCTTTGACTCCCTGCATTTATCCAATAATCCAAAGATTTTATCTTAATATCAAAATATTATTAATATCGATCATTCAAGATTTGACTATCCATCATATTTGAGGAAATTATGTCCACTTGTATTTGGATATAATTTCATGGCATCATGTGCAATAATTTCCCCCGCGGAATTATGTCCATACGATTTGGATATAATTTCTTCTTGGACATATTTTCTCTAATCAAAATTTTTTCGATGAGGAAGTTATATCCAAATTTGAAATGGAATTAATTTCCCCCACATTCGGCCATAAATTCTCCATCAACTTTGTATGGGGGAAATTATGAACCGGGGAAAATATGACCGGTCACCGTGATTTTTACACATTTTTTGTAAATATAGCTAGTTGGTGATTAATTTTTGACCAGTTATTGCTTTAACTAGCTTTTGCAATGTATTTGCGAAAATTAATTGATTTTTTTATGTCTTTGGTCTCTACAGTAGAGACTCTACTAAATTGTAAATTCATAACTACGAACAGGGACTTGTTAGATTAGACGTAAAACTTTTCTTCAATATATCACCTCTTGATAAATTGAATGATGACTTTTGCAGTCATTGGGGCCGTCACTACAGTGTTACCGCTTCAGTTATTCTTTCATTTTTTTTACACATTTTAGTTAGGCTATATTGGACCGTTTACATTTCGGCTACCTACGCATTTCCATTTATCGGTTCGGTTTGTTTGTCTCAAAGCGTTTACGGACCAAATTCTTATACCAATCGTGTGAAGACTACTAAATCTAACTATTGTGTACTATTATTGTGTAAAATCATATATTCAGCCAGTTATTGGCGGTGTTAAATAAAATGGAAAATATTGTTATGGGAAATGTAAGCTGTAAATTTTTGGTGACACACTTGGAATTCACAAACATACAGCTATATATATATATTAAATTTCAGTCTACAAAAGTGGGTACTTTATTGTTTTTGAATAGTATTTTCAAGCTAAATATAAGATTTCCATAAAAATCAGTATTTTTTTTTATTTTCTCAAATTTCTTGAAATCTTTAAGATAAAAGCTAGTTTTGGTAATACTTCTTGGCTCCAAAACCGCGGATGAAATAATTCTTAAGTTGTCATAGACGTGAAAAAACAACACAAATAAGAAAAATTGAGTCACATCAAGAAATTCGTTCCCGCAAAATTGTCAAAACGGCGGAGATCAAAACTCTTTACCAATGAGCAGAGAATGCAAAACCATGAATGATTCTGAATTCAGGGTGACCTGAACTATCCCATTGTACCAGTTCGGCTCTTGTGCCGAGTAGAAAAAACAAGCGTCGGACTGTCTAAATCAAACTGAGATATTAAAACCAAATTTTCTTTTGAAAATATGGTTTTCAATGGAGAAAACAAAAAAAATCCTTCGATATTCTTGATTCACATTAATGCTGAATGTGCGTTCGGTTTGTTGATAGATGGCGTTCATACATTATCCGAAAGCAGCAGTATTCGTCGACTGGTAATGTCATATCACTGACCTGTCATAATCTTGCCGCTCATCTGTCATACAAACATGTATAGAAGTACAGAAAGATAGTTCAAACAATAAAGTGGTATTATTTGAATAAATATTGGTATTTATTTCTGTAATTTTAAAGTACAAGTTTATTGATTATATTTTAAATGTTAACCACAGTGAAGTGCGATTTTTCCGTTAAATTGCCTTGAATCATAGAATTTCATTAAAAACTCGTTTGTATGCTGAGCTTCATTTACGCCATTTTCGAACATTGTGCAGCGTTGCCAAGCCTTTTCAGAAGAAAGTTTAAATTCATTTGTAAAAACCAGTGTCATCGGAACCGATCTTTTATTGAAAGGTGATTTGTTTACTTTTTCACAGAAAGTATTTCTTCAATGTAATTTCCTTTCAGTTCCATAAATATTTTTTTACATATAAGTGTTGCTTCCACGTAGATGGCACTGTACGTCGTGCTATTATATTCTTCATCATACAAGACGCTTTCTGATTGGTCGCTGCAATTTTCAGAAAATTTTGATAAAAAACGCAAAAATACAAAAATCTGTGCAATCAAATTGACGTAAGAAGTATAAAAATTATGGGTCGAATCTTAATTATTTGTTCTTGTTGCTTTTTCAACAAATAAATGATTTCGAAATATAAATCTGTTGATTTGATAGTTTGATTCCGTATAATGGCGGCTAGATTGGTTAGCCAATCACAGTCGAGTTTCGATTAGTACAAACGTTTTTGCTGCACAAACCCCATATGTTTCGCGTCTGTGAATGAAATTTGTTGTGCGTCTTGCTTGTAGAAAAGAAAAATCCCAAACTAGTGAAGAAAAAAATATTGAAAGATCTTTCCCCAATAAGAAATTAAATTTTGACATATGTCAAGCCAGTGAATTTGTTTACAACAATTTTTGTGTTTCTTCTGTTCCAATTTTTAAGCTAAATAGTAATTGAATTTAGTTTGGAAAAGTGAAAAAAATAGATGTCTGTACAAATTTAAGGACTTTTGGGTAATGGAGAAGATAGTAAATACCATAATTTGTGAGATTTTATCCGATATTGTCAACACAGATTCGAATATTAGCAGCTGTGCCGTGTGAAGTGTTCAAAATTTTGAATTCAAAAAATAAAGTTCAACTGTTGAATTCAGGGCATTTTCGTTGAAGGCCATGAACTAAACAGTCGATGAAATATTCCACTTTTTAGGTTCAAAATATGACAACAAAATTCGTTATGAGAATGTTAAGTTACACAATTTCATTAGTGTTTTTATTTATTTCATCAGATACATATTAACTGGCCAAGAACAAAGGGATATGAAGGAGGATTTTCGGCCAAAGGCAAACCAAAAATTAAGTCTTAAGTGAACCGAATAAATAAGAAGTAATAAAACATATTGTAAAACAGCCAGCAAAGAAATAATGACCGGTAGGGGTACAAAGCGACGCGGTAGACCGCCAAAAACACAACAGTTGGAACGACAAAGTATAAAATATAGTTATAATGCCATGAGAAAACCGAAATATGTGACGGATTCACAATACAGCACACCAAATGCATCCCGTGCATCTTCTCCACAAGGAAGTGATAGTAGTCGAAGAGGAAGGCCATCAACGTCACGAAAAGTATCTACAAGAGGCCGTGGGCGAAAACGTGGCAGTGGCCATCATAGCTCAAGGAAAAGTGAGTACCGAAATCCATTGCTATAGCAATGAAGTTAAATGCTTAAATAACAATAACAATATTTAACTATATTTAGGTTACGAAAATGAATATCATTATGGTTCGGATTTTGGTGACTCTTCAGATGATAATGAACCAGATGATGATTTACTGTTATCGGCGAGTGATTCAGATAGTCTAGATGCTGAAAACGATAACAACGACAGTGATTTTTCTTTGAGCAGTTTCAGTAACGAGAGTAATGTAAACAAAAAAAGCAATCGCATACCAAGTCCCGATCCATTATGGTTGCAACCAATTGAATTGCCATCATTAATCTTACCCGAATCTTCAGATGATTTATTGATCCCAAAGCAATATGCGCTCAGAGTAGCTTCCATTTATGAAGTGTTTCGTCGCTTTAAGCAGCTAATTCGGCTATCTCCATTTCGGCTGGAAGACTTCTGTGCGGCTTTAATATCAGATGAGCAAAGTTCATTATTAACTGAAATTCACACTATGCTTTTGCGGGCTTTACTTCGAGAAGAGGATTCACAAGGCACACAATTCGGACCACAAGATCATAAAGACAGTATAAATATAACGTTATATCTGATTGATCAATTTACATGGCCTGAAGTTTTGAGAAGCTATTTAGAAAGCCATGAATCGTTTGATAAAAGTTCACTCAACATACTAACAACCAAGGATTATCCATTCGTTTGCGTTGAAGATCGGTTGACCGTTTTACAATTTTTGACCGATCAATTTTTGATAACTGACATCGTCCGTGGTGATTTGGCACGCGAAGTTCCAATCATCTACGATGATCATTGTCGAATTTGCCACAAATTGGGAGATTTAGTATGTTGTGAAACCTGTCCAGCTGTTTTCCATTTAGAATGTGTTGATCCACCATTGGAAAACGTCCCAGCTGGAGATTATCAATGTAGTTTATGTAAATTACAACAGGGTAAGTAGTTTATAAATTTTTTCTTCGTATTTCAAGAGAATTATTATTGTTTTTCGATCTTTAATTTTGCTTAGTTCCGGGTGTTTATGATTGTGTTTCAAGTTTGGAGAAGCAAGGATTTCTGTGTCGACATGAACATTTGGGGTATGATCGGCATGGCCGAAAATATTGGTTCATCAACCGCCGAATTTTTGTTGAAGCTGAAGAAAATGGAGAGATTTGGTATTACAGTTCTGTGGCACAGTTCAAGGATTTTTACTCCAAACTGGACGCCAATGGTATGGAACGGGCATTATGTTCTGAAATAGATGATTTTAGTGACGAAATCGAGCGACAAATGACCATTACCGAAAATCTGACGAATAAATTTAAGGGTCATAAAAAATCGTATTTAGAAATGGAAAATCAACAAATAACAGAGCGTATCAAGAAGCTGAAGGAAAAAAATGAAATAGAATATGAAAGCGACACGGAAAACAGCAAAAATGTGAAAAGTGATGACAGAAGTGAGCAAAGGTGTGAAGGAAAAGATTCCAATGTTGCTGATAAAATAAATGATACTGACCCAGAGCAGAACGAACAATCGCCATCACGAATTATCAAAAATGTAGTTTCAACGCGCTTGAAAACTGGCTCGATAACGCCACGAAACTATAATACGGATGATCTGAAACGGAAAATTCCGAGCAAGGATGACAGCGAAGGTGATACCCGTATGACACGGTTGAAAAATCTGAACATAAATTGTCCGTTTAAATTGGGACAAGAACAAACATTTAAATCATATGTAAACCAATACGCAACAAATGTGTATGCACTGAATAAACCACAACGTAATGAAGATCGTGACAAAAAGAGACCATTATCACACAAGTTTTCGCTCACACAAGCTTCAGAATTCAAATGGGGCGGTATTTTGAACGGTAACCGAAATAATGCTATACAAACATTACGTCAGACGATGATATCACTTGAACAAGCTATTTCTACACCCTATATGCATTCAAATTGGCCAACGCTCAAAAAGTTATGGCTTCAGGCTATATCACATTGCAATAAACCTACGGATTTTGCGAAAGTATTGATAATTTTCCAAATTTGTACTAAAAATTGCATTTACGTGAATGCTTGGCATGAACAATTGGCCCACATTAAACTAGAACGTGTAACATCAGCGGAACGGGATGAGAAGAAAAAGATCGAGAAACGAGAGAAACGAGAGCGTGACGATGAAGAAGAACGAAATCGACTCGCCATCAACTTTGTTAAATATCCTCTGGGCCAAAAACATCAAGTGGCAAAGCAAAAAGGTGAAGAGTACCGAATTCATGGTCAATGGAGCTGGCTTTGGGTATCTTATGGAAGACGACAAAATAAAAATAAGAAGTCGATGATTTATAAAATTGAACCGGCCCAAATAGTTTCACTAATCAAACACAATGACGCCGAAAAGATTATTACTTTGGAACCGAACACATATGACTACTTAAAAACACAGAACCAGTACAAAACCTCCATAAATATGCCGACAGAAATACATAAAACCGCTGTTATATCTATTGAAAACTCGTTCGATGAATTGAATGTTTCTGGAGCGCTGAGTGCAGAAAATCGTTTATTATACCCAAAAGTTGCGAAAAAATCCGTTTTAGATGAACTACTAAAACGTAGGGTTCAGCTAAAAACTGAAGAAGAACAACGTATTGAACGAGCAAACGGATCAGATACTGAACCCATTGCAAATCTGGTCACAAAACCTCGGGGCCGAAAACCAACTGACATAGAAAAATTATTGCGTCGCTTATGCGGAATCAAAAGTAACACCTCTTCAAATACGACAAGCTCTGCAGTTAATTCGAATCCACAACAAAATATTGACACAGAATTTGTGAATGAAGTAGCAGATACGATCGTAAAGGCTCGAGATAAATTCGCTCAATTAAATCGGCTTGGAAAACAGTATAAATGTTATTCAACATGTGAAGCAAATGATGTTTGTTACTCTTTGCAACAAATGAAAAAGGATGTTTGCTTTTCACCATTGTGCTTACAAAAAACTCGTGTTAAAGAGGAGCTCTTAATTGCTTTGAAAAAATCTGCATCTCACGGTGATACTGTAAAAGAAAAGATTATGAAAATCGTTAATCGTAAACCAGAAATAAAAATGAATTCATTGCAAAGCAATGCTGTTGATTCATCTACGGATATTAATCCAATTAAATTACAAAGGAATTTTCTCCATGCATTGGAAAAGAGTTGCGCTGGTAATATTGAGAAAGATGTGAATGAGTTTATAATTTCAACTTCTCAAGATGAAAAACTAGGAAGACATTTCGAAACTTGTAAGATGGAAATTGATGACAAGTATATCGACAACATTGATTGTAAAAACATGGAAAGGAATTCAAGTGATATGACCGAATCTATTAAAATGGATATGGATCAGGGTGAGACATGCCAACAAACAACAAACGCTGATTTAAATAGTGACGAGCACGAGGATAATACGAAGTACTTTATACCTTTTTGTTACACTTCAATTTTTTTGAGTAATTGTTATGAAATAACAAACAAAAAAACATATCTTTTCAGTGAACGAATGGGTACAGGACTGGTAGATGGAGATACAAATGATTTTGAAATGACGGATGAAAATTCTCGGTGAGAAGAACTTGTGTAAATCGCTTTGAATTGTATTTCTTAATAAATTCTAACACATTCTATTCGATTAATCGGTGATTTAGTGAAAGGCGTACATCAAGGCGCTATATTAAAAGCCAAGTTGCCAATAAAGCATCAACAATCAACAAGCACTCTGGAAAATGTTCCCTTGATTCTGATACTCATGAAATTTATTCAATCACAAAAAATCGTTTTAAAGATACATCATGTGGAGGCATTAAATCAGCGATTGAAACATCTACTTGTGATTTCAATGAACCAAAAATATTTATTCGACCAAACCGCCGATTCCCTGGAGTATTGAAAGTAACCAAACGGGAGTTTAAAATTGAAAAAGATTATACTACTGGGGGAAGTGAGCGCATTTTTTCAACAGATTCAACAAGTGGAAAAATTTATTTGTTGAAAATTTCCAACGATCATGACCCAATGAAGCCACTTAAACCAGAAGCATCGTTGTCGCCAATAAAGTATCCATCCATGAATAACTTTCTCACGAAAAAAGGCTTTAGATCTATTATGGTGCTTCATAGTTACGAGCTTAGGAAATTGGCACGGTCAGGAGGAAAAATGATGGTAAATGGCTTCAACCCGATGAGTAAATCAAATCTTACTGTATGGCCATACCCATCTTCACGGCCTTTTTTCAAAACGTGTTGGCTATTCCGAACGTTGAATGCTCGTACTCTCGCTACAATAGCACTTCAACTTAGAATAATGTGGTGTTGTTTGCGGTGGGATGATATGACAGCCAAACCACCAACCAATAATGGAAAAATTGTTACTAATACAGAAACAGGAATTGTTTCAACAGAAATATTAAAGCACCGCATTCGTGGCCGATTTTCTGAGAAAATTGACTACCTCAGACTGACGTTACTCATTCCATATGGATATGCCGACCCTCAACCATATAAAGGTATGTTAGAAGGTCCGTGAGATTTTATGAATAAACTTTTTATCTCAAAATGAAATTCTAGATACATCCGAAAATACACCAAGTCGATCTGGGCTTCGAAAGCGGAAACGACCTGAAACACCACAGAAAACGGAAAAACAAGTCTCCGAGGAATGGGTTGACGAAGATCAACTTCAACTGTGGGAGATAAAATTGTTTGGAGAGAGGTAAGACGTCTTTTTTGTTATTATTATTCTGCACCATACAGAACGATAACTTCTTTTTGGTTTATAAATATTCGAATATTATCAACTCGTTTGATGTCTCTGTATGAGTTATTTCGAAGTGTCAAAAATATGATATTCCTCCGATATCTCCAAATACTGGAAATTGATAAGGCCAAAAATCAGAGATTAGTACCTGGAGCCTGGAGTGATCGGATCAGATTTTTGTTGTATCTTTTAGCCAACTTCTAGTGTGCAATCCAAATATTATTCGGTTTTGTGGGGGCAAATTGAATTTCACCCCCCCCCCCCATTTCAGGGTAGTTTTCGTTTTCCTTTTCAATTTTTTCAACTCCCCTTGACCCCACAATCTGCCCACAACTAAAGGCCCGGAAACTGAAATATTATTGGTACACTAACAACCCCCTATCCATCGGTATAGTTCTCATTGGCATACGCCTTATGGCCCAAAATGGGACGATGTTTTTTTTCACATTATTTTCAAAATAATATTTTGGCGGACACTGCTGAATGCAGTCGAAAAATTTCCATATAAAATGAATTCGTCTGCATATAGCAGTAGCCGCTATATTCAGTCGGACTTTTTTCAAACAACTGCATTTAACCCTAACCGCTGTATGCGGATGATTTTTCTTTTTTCATGTTTGATTGTATATATTCACTGCTTCTTTATGCAGTCGAATTAAAAAATATATGAGAAAATGAAGTGAAAATCAATGTTAGATGGAATTATAGTCGTTTTTTTTATTTCATTGCATTTTTAGGCGCGCGCACGCCTTCACTTTCTCAGAGCTAAATTTTTTTTGACTGCATTTTACAGCAGAAGCTATATGTAGTCGAAAAATATAAATATAATAAATAAATATAAGATTAAAATTTCGGCTGCATATAGCGCCAGAGGCTATATGCAGACAAAAAACGAAAAATAAAAATTCAACTGCAAATAGCGGTTACGGTTAAATGCAGTTGTATGAAAAAAATCCGACTGTATATAGCGGATGTCGCTATATGCACTATGCAGTCTTTTCGACTGCATATATAAACGGCCATATTTTGGCTCACAAAGTTAGTTTGCATAAAAATGAACACTAATGATTCATATGCATGCAAACATCGAACTTGGTAATACATACGTTGAAAAAAAAAATGAAAAAGATTAAATGTGACCTACGTGGCTAGTCAGAACCTATGGCAACATGAGTTTGTACCACACTGAAGTGCGTCATACTGTAGCAAACACAGCTCCATGTTAAGTTGTTGTTGATTGGAGACTCATGTTGCATTTTTAAGAGATAACTTTTTCATGTTCCGTTTTTTCAACCACATATCTGTATTCCCATTATCATGCTAAGCGACACAAATATTTCATGGGTTATGTCAATGTTTGATTTCAGTATATTCCAACAACTAATAAATTGTTATAAAGAAATTGTCAGGAAAATGACTCTTCAAAAAACATGAAATTATAAATAAAGCAGTTTATTCTTTATTGGCATAAAGTAGAAACTAGTAGTTTGATATTGTAATTTATCTCCTTTAGATTGGAAAAATCATTACTTCAACCGGTTACTAGAACTTCTACTGGGAAGTTACCATCCACACGCACTCCGGATACCCCCGCGCAAAATCGAACCAATGCAATCAATAAAACTACTTCTTCATCATCAATATCAACTCCGAAGCAGACTGGTGTAGGTCATAAAACAAGTGCTGAAGAAATCAAAGAGAAAATGGAGCAAGAACTTCGCCTTCAGCGCGCTGAACATCACAAAAAACGAACCCTCGAAATGATGCATCAAAAAAAGGGTAAGATTTTCTAGACCATTTGATATCTTTTGCTAATTTCGACCCTGCGACAACTCTTTTTGGGTTTAAAGTTCATTCCACCAATTGAACTTTTCTAACATTCTCATAAAATGGATTTCGTATTTTTGAAAAATCACAGACAAAACACAATTCTATAGCATTTTTTGTATGAAAAATTTTGGAATGAATTTTGTCGTAAAATTTATACTTTTTCTGCACTTTCCTGATTTTTTTCGAATTTTTTCGTATGAAAGGTCTTAATTATTTTTCCTGCTATCCATTACTGAAACTAATAAAGTTGACACCATGTGACTTGTTTAATTTCCTTAATTTTCATTTACGAGCTTAAACGTACACTTAACCTTTTGATCGTCGTTCGGTTTTGCAACATATTCCCGTCGCTTACAGTGCCCAACATGTATTTTATATGAAAACTGGACTGTGATAAAAAATAACGATTTGGTCTTTTAAGCAAAGTTATAGTACTCTGTCCGCTCTACAACTTTACAGAAAATACCATCACGTTATCTCTTATCAGTTCCACGAAAAACGCGAATAATCGCTTCCTCATTTTTAACGGATTTAATTAAAGATATGAGATATCCAATTTTAGCAAAGTTGTAGAGCAGGTTGAGTACTACAATTTTTCTGAAGACATCATTTCGTTATCTCTTATCAGTTACGCGTAAATTTATAAGAAAAAACTCGCGGTTTTCGCGGTTTTTAGCGTTATTGATTAGAGATAACGAAATGATGTCTTCGGCAAGGTTATATATAGTACGCAAAATTTTCTAGAATATTGCTTAAGACAGATTTGCTTTTCTCTCGTCAGTAACGCTAAAAATCGCAAAAGACCGCCCACAATACGGGATTTTTGATAAGGTTTCAAATGATGAATTTTGAAAAATCAGTATGAAAGTTCAGTATGTTCCAAAACACGTTTAATTAAAGTAAAATACCCAACATTTATTATTTTTATGTGTTTACAGTAAAATCGACTCTTAAAACTGACAAATGAACTATTCGGAATCCTCGAAATCAACTGAAATTGCACTTGGACTTGATTGTTTTTGTTTCGTTTTGAAATCATATCTTTTTTGGGTAGAGATTTTCTTCAGAATACCTTGGCGAGTTTTTAAGAAACGGTGGAATTCCGTACATGTGAATTCCATATTGTATCGAACAGTTAAAATTGACTTTAATGTGCTTGTTTGAAAAGATGAACTTTCTTTTTTCCAAATTTTATTTACTCTGGCAAATATTTGCTCTGCCGGGGTTGAAGTACCGGGGAAACAAAAGACGAATTCGATTATTGCGGAAAAATTTGAAAACGGTACGTTTTCCCCTTCTAAAATATTAAAAATATCTACCCATCGTGCTTCTGATGGAACTTTGTTTGTGTTCCATTTAGTAATTCTATTCGCGGTACAAAATCGTTTCACACAACCAAACTGTTGAAATATCGTTGGCGATTGTGTCTCAGAATCAAACGAAAACTTTTCTGTTAATAATCTATCTTCAAAATTGTTTCACGAAATAGATCAGCCTTATGATATGTTATATGTATGATGTATGTGAATAGAAATAAAACCGGTCAACACTGTGAATGCCTCTAGTGTATCGATTTGAAGTCGTAATGAAGAGAATTAGGGAAAAGTATGAGAAATTCAAGTAACACAAGGAAAATTCCCAATTTTTCTGAGACACGATACGAAAAATGTAAGACAAAAAACTGGATCCGGGTCGAACTGAAGAAATACTAATGTCTACTTGAAAAATTGTATTTTTAAAAGAAAAATCATCAAAGTTCCTAGAAATCTTGCATTTTTGAGCAAAATACGAACAAGTGTCAAAAATCAGTATATTTCAGTATAGAACAAAAAAGGCCAAAAATCAGTAAGGGGAAGTCGTCTAAGATGGGCCATCGGGTAAGACGGGCCACCACCGAAAATTTTGACAGAAGTCATATTAACGGCAAACTGATCAGCATCATGTTAATGCACCATGGGTAGCTATGTTTTGGATGTGTTCCGAGGAGTAAAGAGATCCCCTATGTATGATAAAAAATGTTCGTTCCAAAATTTTGTGAAAAATCATTTTTAGTGCATTTTATTGACAAGCACTGTGTGATTTTTTTTGACAATTTTTGATATAATACATCAAACAGCTCCGTGACGCTTGCCCCCCCCCCCCCCCCCGGTTCCAAAATTTAAATCCGAGCACGGTTTCGTGTTCTACGTAATTTCTGCTGATTACTGCTCGCTCCGCAGAATTTCTGCTGCAACCGGTGACGAGCAGTAATTGCCCAAAGTTTCGAAAAAAATCCATGAAAATCGATTTTTCGCATATTTGAAGGTTTTGCCCCAAAAATTAATTCCAAACTAAATTTTCAACATTTTCATGATCCAAGGGCTGATAATGAAAGATCTAGGGGCCCTCTAATTTCTGCCCGCTCCCCACAATTCCTGCTCCAACCGGTGATGAGCAGTAATTGTCCAAAGTTTCGAAAAAACCCATGAAAATCGATTTTTCGCATATTCGAAGGTTTTGCCCCAAAAATTAATTCCAAACTAAATTTTCAACATTTTAATAATCTGAGGGATGATAATAAAAGGTCTGGAGGCCCTTTAATTTCTGCCCGCTCCCCACAATTCCTGCTTTAACCTGTGATGAGCAGTAATTGCCCAAAGTTTCGAAAAATCCATGAAAATCGATTTTTTGCATATTCGGAGGTTTCACGCCAACAGTCAATTCCAAATGAAGTTTTCAATATTTTGATGACCTGGTGGCTGATATTGAAAGGTCTAGATGCCCACTAATTTCTGCTTGCTTCTCAGATTTCCTGCTTCAACCAGTGACGAGCAGGAATTCGACAAAAATTGGAAAAAAAATGTATGAAAATCGATATCACAGTGCAACAAAGTTTAGGTAGGTCCATGTCACCAGCACCGCCAGTGCTGTTAAACCATAATATGTTATAATCAGTGCTCGAATAGTGCTGGCAGATACCACTTCCAGATTGCAAAAATCTTGTCTAGCGGCTGAACACGTATCGTCAATATTTTTTGAATACTTTTCGGTACATTCCCATGGCAAGTACATGAAATCGAATTTTTTTCATATCAATGTAGCTCTATGACTCCTGTTCGGAAAAGTGAATCACTGTCTTACAATTGTGGGGAGCGGGCAGAAATTAGAGGGCCCCTAGATCTTTCATTATCAGCCCTAGCGTCACGGAGCTACATCAAACGTGTTGTAAAAAGTACATATTTTCAGTGTACAATAATAATTTTGTTGTTATTTCATCATGGAAAAAAAATTGTCGTCATGAAAAAATGGCGTGTTTTGGTTAAGATTTCTTTTTGTTATGCACTGAAACTCTATTGTTATGTTTGAAAATCGTGTTTTAAGCAATCGCATAGCGTTTTAAAGTGAATCAATGGTATTTTTCGCCTGATGTTGGCCCATTGCGACCAGTTATACCAAAACTTTCATCAAAACGTCGTAGACGTCAGCTTATTAAAAGTGCGAAAATTACATTGCTGAAAGCACATGAATGAATAAAAATTGACAAATCTTTCGAAATATGGTGTTACTATTTCATAATTTCTATTATTTTCCAAATTTTGTGGGGTGGCCCATCTTAGACGACAAATTTTTTTTGTCCATTTTCAAGGTGTTCGGAAAATTTGCGATAATTTTTTTTTGCACTGCAAACGAATAACAACCTGAAATATGAAAGTCTCAAACATTATCCACATTTAAGACTTTTATAGCGGTCAATCAATGTGTGGCCCATCTTAGACGACTCTCCCTTACAGTTGGCAGCTTTATGATAAGAGATGAGAGATATCTGTTTTCAGCAAAAATGTAGTGGAGCTCAAGTACTACAACTTGGCCGAAGTCAACAAGTCGATATATCTTATCAAAGTCCAGTTTTAATACGAAATACACTTGGGGCACTGTATGCCCCAAAATACGAGCAACGCACATGTGTTCAGAGGCAATATCTCACACATGCTTAAACATATGAACATGAAAATTAAGTGGTGTTAAGCTAAAGGTTCAAGCTATCGAATAGTACTAAATTTAATGTAAGATTTTTGAGTTTTAGTACTTTTATTTGCAATTTAAAGTCGCCACGGAAACTGTATGCCCCAAAGACGAACAAAAGGTTAATGAAAAATCAACTGAGTTTATTTATGTGTTAGTGGCAATATCAATTTAATATGAATACACATACGTGATGACCGATAACGATGAATAACTGAATTTTTTTGAAGAAGAGGGGACAGAAAAATTGTGTCTTTTGACACCATTACTTGAATTCTGGTGGACTTGATGAATTCATTTATTATTTACTAGATTAGCCTGGCGTGATTTGCTACGCCTTTTTCATTTTCTTTTTTATTTCAAAATGCATCAATTTTGTGACATTAATAGGTGTGACAAAAATGTCTTTAAAATAAAATTGTGACATTTTGAATTTTTGTTTTATTACAATTTGTGACATTTGGAAATATCCCAAAATTGTACCAAAAATATGCCTATGTCACCCGTCGACCCAAGACCTTTCCATTGATGTGCCGCATGTCCAGATCGGACAACGCTTTTGGCCGCCAAGTCGTTTCTGACAGACAGACAGACACACATTCTCTTTTATATATAGATAAGTCTTGATTTGTCGTATATTTTTTTAATTTTAGATTCGACAAAAGCTCCAATAATTGCCCAACGTAGAATAATTGTACAAAATCCTGATGGCACAACAAAAGTAATTTTACAAAATGTTGTACAAACTACACAGGTAAGCGATTACCATGAAATATCCTGGAATAAATAAGTCACTTTAACCTATAATTTTGTTGTTGATAATAAAAACGGGAATACAGAAGTGTTTGAACTGAAGCACAACATGAAATTTGTTTATCGAAAACTCACCATGCAAAATAGGAATTTTGAATGTGGATTTCTGTGTATTTCGCGAAAATGATAAAAGATAATGAGTTATAGTGTTCAGCGAACTTCTAGGACTTGACCAATTCTATAACTTTGTTGAGATAACATTTCGTTATATCTTATTATTTTCGCTAGATATTGCTTCTTCGTTATATTTTTTCGATCGTGCATGATAACACC